TATGACTTCTTCCCAAGACTGACTGTCTATAGGTACTTCGCAATTGTGACACATCCATCTTCAAGATGTGTCAAGAAGTCAACCCTTCGATAACAACAAACCTACGCATTTCCTCTTTCGTACTCTGTTGACACAAGGAAAACGAATCGTTTCTACGTGACAAATCCACGTCGTTAGGGCGTTTCCGGAAAAGTGGTATTCTTGGAATCGTGGAGGTGTATTGTCAATCCTTATCTAATACAAATATTTTTACCAGTGTTTCATGTGATTTTTAACAATTATAATGTTTCAGTATTACTCTGGCAAGGCATGACGAACGGATTGTATTCAGCACAATTTAAATTTCCATATTGATTAAATTTCCATAAGTTTACGATGCCAAGTATTACCAAAATCGAATTTATTAATTTACATTAGACATGTAAGATCTTACATTTTTACTGTAATTGCAAAATTTTGTATAAAAGGACATATTTGGTAATTGAAACGCCAGACAATATGATTGGAAGGTTTTTGCTCCTTTTTATGTCGTTGTTTCGCAGTGGAAAAATCGCGTGTTTCAATCATGTTTCACAAACACTTAGTGCAAACAAATAAAATTGCGCAGTTGTTTTATTACCCGTCGATGTTCACATTCTGTCCGTTCAACGACTTTGACAGCTGAATTATCAATTTTCAATTGACATCACGGGTGAGCCGATAATTATTGCGTGGAAAAAGTTTGTTTGTAATAAATTATGGTTGAATTTCAACTTTTTTGCTTTGTACAAATAAAGTTGGATTGCTTATTTTTGGGATTTTTTTTAAATCTTAACCCACGTTACTGCCAAAAGTTGAAAAGTACCCTCTTGTTCAAAGGCAAGAAATGCCATCGCGAGGTCACACATTGTTAACAATTATTATTTAGTTAAATAAATACATGAAAAAAATCACGTCATAAGTTATATCTTACTGGAGATATCAATTTATCTAACCTTAATTGCGATTCGATATAAAAAAAGGTGATTTTTTTGTCCCAATCAATTAAAGTGTTATGATAACCTAATGAACATGTAGAGCAAGACGATTAAAAATTGAAATCTCATATAATGCTTATAAAATGATTTTTGGTCATTAAAATACAAAATTGTACAAATATATAAGATACATGGATTCATTTGGGAAAGTTAGACAAAATTTTAAAGAGAGAATAAAGTGATTAAACAGTGTGATACAATATCAGCTTAATTTTAATAAAATATTTAAAAAAATATTACCAATCCTTCTACAAATAATTTGCCAGATTGGGTCAAAAACCTTAACAAGTACAAAAAGCAACAAAACTGTTTCTGCAGTTCTATCACAGACTATTTATATGTTTCCATATATAATTCTTGATATTTCTATTTATTATATGCACATAAAGCAAGAGAGAGAATATGATTGATTCTTAAAAGCTCAATTCGCACATATACAGTCAGATCTCGGTCTATCCGTCCTACCACCGAACTGAGGCTCACGTTTGACGTCAACTAGGTAATTTCAGCCCAAACGCATAAAACTTTTAAACTGTATGCCAATTACAGAGTCAAATCATTCTTCAATTAGGGTGGTGGAGTAATAGATACTTCTCCATACTGTATAACTGATTTAATTGAAGATCGCCGAGGTATTCAATATTCCAACGTAGGCCTTCTTGCACTACACATTCACTCTGATAAATATATTCATTCTGAATCGAAACTACTATCAGTACAATACGCAATATACAGTCTGTTTCCTCCAAAAAAATCTATATACTAGCTGCCATGCTCAAGCGATATTCTCATATCGGGTGGCATTCTTTATATGGAATCAAGGAATGCAGCCCATAAAATAAGAGGAACATATCGAGCGAACTTTCCATGCATGCCGGACACATCAGCGGACTTTTCCCCAAAAGTAATGGCTTATTCTTAATCGGGTGAGATGATACACTTTTCTACGATTTGAGACACCTATCGACTGTACGATAGATATAGAGGGAGATGGGGGAGATGGGGGAGAGAGAGCGAGAGAGAGGGAGAGAGAGAGAGAGAGAGAGAGAGAGAGAGAGAGAGAGAGAGAGAGAGATCATTTACTTTTCCGTATACTCGGTCTTCCTTAAAAGGACAATGAAGATCTTTAACATCCGCACCTAGTCTATTCGGCCTTATCGAACGTTTTGATTCTCAAGATGAGAGCTGACGTACCTCCGCATACGACAGAAGTGTGTTACTGTCGCAGCCTTGGAGTAGAGGCAGCCAGCTCCGAGAGGCCAAGACAACCTCGCTCCCCGCTTGATCATTCCGAGTGTCGTGGGCATTAGCATCGAATCGTATGCCGCGCGCAAAGGGCTACCTAAGCCGAAATACATCAGCCTGGTCTCCCGCACACTCCTTAGATAGAGAAGGCCTCTCTATCTCCCAGAGTATTGGGGCTTCCCCAGCGTAGAAAATACCGGATCCGCTCCGGTCGCGATTTGTTTAAAAAGGAATTGCTAACCACCCCCTAGAGGAGACTGTCTTCGGTAAAAGCCGCCAATCGAGCTCAGCCTACACCTGTGTGCAAAGCTACTCGAATAGGCGCAACCGATTCACTACCCATTTCCATCCGCCCCCTTCACTACCCACGCATTCGAGGGACCCTGTCAGCGTAATCATAGCGTCCTCAACGCTTATACGCTTCGGTCCGTATCCCGTGAGGCCGGGTGTATAACGATGGTCATAAGCAAGTCTCGTGCGAAGGTCACTGATAGAAGACAGCCTCTTCTCAAAGTTCCCGCCAGGGGCGTCACCACGAACCACTACGAGTCCATTCCCAGTGTAACAGGGACTGAACCTTGGATTATTTCTGTTACCCCGTAGTACAGATGGTTATGCACCCTCCCCCGTCTGGGCAGACAGAATCTGGTACCCTAACCCATGTGTGCCTCTGATAAGGCATCCGCCGCCTCATGCCGACACGAGTACAGCTTGTGCTTTAGAGAAGTTGCCACGCTCTCAGGGCTGCACCGTTATTTTGCGCCCGGACCAAGGGTTGGGAAGAGTGAAGGATCCTGGATTGAGAGAGGGACGTGGATGAGGGCACGAGGTGCACCTTTTCAGGGCCCCGAGCCTTAACCACATATTTTAAAAATTATCTTTTATCTTAAGGTGACCTGTCATACATTTATCGTAAACTGTACCCTCAGAAAAGTACATATAATATTTTAAAGTTGACCTCGAGCTAATATTTTTATCAACTGATTGAGTGTTAAACAAACAATTAGGTTGATTTCTTAATCCAATATTTATTATTTAAAAAAAAAAAAAAATTGGTCGTATGAGTGTCTTCTCTAATAAACATCTCAAGTTAAAATTAAGATCTCGAAGGGTCAAGTGGTCGCCCGATTTCTTAACTTATATTCTTCTGCTTGTTCTGCAAATGGATCAATATCGTTCCTCCAAAAAAGAAATTTTGACGATTTTGCGTGTCGTTGCAAAATGTAAAGTCAATGTAAAATTCCGAGAAGATTTTCCTGTTGATCAATTGACCAATTTTGGACGTATCAACTCAAGGATTAGGGAGTATAGGCAATCTCGGTCAGGTTGGATTTCCATCAATGATATGTGTAGGCCGGGGATCTGGATGGTTTATGTATTAAAAAAAAGTGTATGTAATGTCTCAAAATGTACCGTTTTACTGTGGTATTTCCAGCCCGAACTAAGATGCGATCATTTGCTATATTTTTGGCTGTGAACAACTCAATTGGAGCCCCAAGTTTGCATTTTCTTACGCATTTCTGCAGCAAAATGGTTCCACATTAAATGTACTATACTAATAAATCCACATTATATAATAAATTATATTGGATTCGGTGAGTGTCATAATTAGCCCATAGATTTAGGGGGATAATCGGTAATTCCTGTTTACCTGATTCCATCGAACTTTCACATCATAAAATTTTTGGAAGGCATAAAATGCTTTATGCCAGTTTTAGGGGATTGAAAAATAATAAATAAATAAATAAAATAGATTCTGCGCAAAGGCATAAGAGACCCCAACACTCGAAAGACTATGGTATAATAAAATCATAAAACTTCTGGGAAATGCCGATAATCCTCTAATTAGATGTGGATTTGGTACGATGGCGTGAAATAAACTTAGATTTCGACCAAATTATTTAAATTCAACAAAAAAATATTATAAGAAAAAAAAAAGCTTGGAAGCTATTAGCTTATCATTGCCGTAGTTGTCATTACCGTATCATCAATAATCTGCTAAGAGTGAAAATTCTGTATTTCTTCGACATCTACAAAGCAATGTAGGTCATAAATGATTTAGGAATAGAAGGGAAACGAAGGCATAACATTTTTATTCAGTTTTAGTGGATTTAACAATAATAAACATTTTTTTATTAGGTAAATTCTGTGATTCTTCAACATCAGGTCATATTTAACAAATCTAACAAGCAGTATCGGAAAAATATAGTATTTACAAGAGAGGGCCAATAAATCAAAAACCTACTTGCGAGGCGTGGAAAGACTCCGAATCCCAACAGGATTGCAGACTAAATGGGCATTTGAGAAAGAATGGTATTAAACAGCACGGTACATGTACATTCTGCGAAAAGGCAGAAGAGACCCCAACACTCGAAAGACTGTGGTATCACTATCAAAACAGGACTTTGGGAAGTACAATACAAACGTGGATATAACTGGGCCTCACAGCTTGCTATAGGTGCAGAACAGGGTAAACAATAGTTTTTAAAGGGTTAAGTAACCATCTTGTATATACATCTGCAATTAAATATTGGGGATGATTGTAAAAATGGCCATGACTTACGAAAGTTTTCATTAATTGTTAAGTTTGAGGGGGCTTTCGATGGAAAACTCTTTTGTAAAAGGATTTATTGAGATGTAGCGGATTTAACAATAGTAAACATTGTTATTCAACAATTGTTTTGTTATTAGGAAATAAAAAGTAAAAGGCATTAGGTCAGCAGTTGTGAAATCAAAACGAACGAATCGGCTTTAAATCAGAGAAGGAAGAAAAGGCGGTTTTCAGTCTGGCGGTCAATTCGAAACGTTAACCATCCAAAATGAAAATTGCAATTGTCCTCTTTTCTCTTATCGGTCTGGCCCTGTCGGGGGAAATCGGCCAAAGGATCTACCGGGAGAGCCAAGGCGGGACGGACACCGTCTGCCTCGAGTTCAAATCAGCGAACAGGCCACCTTCCAGGATATGCGGAACGCCGCAAAGCGTCAACCGCGAGACGCTCTCTTCTGCCCAGGTGGAGGCAGGTCACAACGGAAGATCCGTAGCTGAAAAGTTGACGCACACACCCACGGTACAGGAAAACCAGTTCAAATGAGCACAAAATATAAATTATTTTCATATGATTTTCTTTTTCCCCAGATCAACTTCGAATCGCCGAACGGCATCCCGATGGGTTTAACAGGCTTGGCATCTTTCAACGGTCAGATGGCGTCCATTCCAGCCCAGTTCACAGGAAGAAGCATCTCGAGGGAAGACGGTAGGACGATATTTATTCCTCCGTACGGATTAAGACCGCAAAATCCATCTATCCAAAGGTCTTCTGCAGGCGTTCCGAGGATGAACAGCAACTGTAACGAAAACAGCGAAAACTCTCCTATCGACGCGACGGCCAACAAAGAACAGAGGATGTCAGAACAGATGCCCCTTCAACTCGGCGACCCTTCGGCACAGAATCTCCAGATCGGAAATGCTTACGGATCTTTGTCCAGGGGAATATCGCCTTTCACAGCGGGCCTCACAGCACTTCACTTTCCCAACTTGTTTTACTCCAACTTGAACGAGATGATTATGCGTCTTCACGAAGACACGAAGAAAATGACGCAAGAGAGCAATAGGAAAATTCAACAACTCGAAGAAATCATACAAAACCATTTGAGAACGGAAACCCCGACTGGAAGGGCGCCACTATCCAAAGAAACCGTTTCCGAACAGAATTTAAACAGAACTTTGTCAACAATGCCAAAGAAAATAATTCGGACAGATAACAAGCAGTGAACTGTTTTATTTTGTGAACCGGTGACGCAGTAAACATTTTTTATACTTTTTGTAAAAAAAATAAAACTTTAATAAAAATATGACTTTTTCTCAATATTTAATTTGATTTGAATATTACAGCTGTATTACGGTAGTAATCAAAATAGTTCTCAATCTTGAAACAGCTTGAGAAAAATTGGCCAACGCTTACAAACAAATAAATTATGCAATATCTTATCTAAATAACAGTAATTTTCCATTTATAACACATAAATGATATTTTCTTTAACAATACTAGATATTTAAGTTACGACTTACATAGCCAATTTTATTGCATTATCAAGTTATAAAGTACTCACAATTTCCTCCACTTAGAATATTCGTAGAGTCGACGTGCTTTTTCACTCCTGTTAACATAAATGACCATAAGCTTAATATCTAAATTTTCTTTAATTAAATTATTTTAATAAAATCAACTGAGAAAGAGAGAGAAAGAGAGAGAGAGAGAGAGAGAGAGAGAGAGAGAGAAAGAGAGAGTGTTCCCAAGGTGTTTTACTGAAAATATCTGTCTAGGCAGAGTAAATTTTCCAAAAATCTGCATAGAAAAATTTGTGATTTTATCCATTATTATAATGCTAAAGTAATATTCAGTGGAATTAAGTATGGCTAGAGTATGGATTTGTTTGAATATCTGGAAAAGAAAAGACAAGGCTTTCCAATCGTGGCTCCAGTTTCTAAAGGGAGGAGTGTTTTTCAACCTTTGAGGGAATGTTTTCAAAAATAGTGAAAATATAATAAACATTACGTGATCGCAATTGTTTTTTTCAAGGCGATTGTTTCTCTTTTTCAAGAAAAGGGAGGACACGGCGGAAGCTATTATGTTGTTATTGGTCCTCTTTCTTTAAAAAACCGCTCTATCAGCTCTGAATTTATTTTGAAATATTTCGTAATTGTATTATTTTAAACTGGCCTCCTGTCCGGGTCGGATGAAGGATGGTGGCAAAAATAATTTTACTTTTTGGTTTTTTGTGTTCGGCCCTTGGACGCCCAATGTACGACCCGTCGTTGTCAGTATTGACGCCTACATGTCATAAAGTCCATATGAGCCCATTAGTAACGAAGCCGCAGCTTCAGCACGTACCGGGTTACTTTCCACCGACGGAGAACGTCCATTATTTTGCCAATTTCATCAGAGAAAGAGAGGGCCTGCCGAGGATATCGCCGACTGACATCGTACACCTCCAATTTGACCCTCATCCGATACTCGGCTGGTGAACATTTAACAACGTTAAACAATTTATTTCAACAATTTAAATATAAATATTTTTAACGGCCATATAAACTCGCAAATAAAGACAAAATGTCATGTAGTTATTTTTCTTCCCAAATACTTTGTAATAACAATAAAGTTTCAGAAGAGTACTGCCAAGAAATCAACAATTTTACACCTATTCAAGAAATTTTTAAAATATTATTTTTCACAACTTTTTTGTTAAAATTTGAAACAATACGTTCTACTATATGCTATTTATGTTGCAATTGATCGACTGTTGTATAGCAAGTGTGAAGTTCTTATTTTAAGGACTTTAAAATAAAAACGGTCGCTGTACTTATCTCCAAAAGACTACCTAACCTATTTTTTCCATAACCTAAAAATGCAGGCTGGTCATATTAGAAGATTGTTCGCTACTTTGGTTTGAACATTGATAAGCACCTGAACTGGAAACTTCGTCTAAAAAACAATCCTGTCAATTACAAACTGCTGGGTAGCTGAGAGAAGTAGATTGTTGAGTCTACACAACTCTTATCCAATCTAGAATTGAATACGGATCAATTGCATGTGGATAGCAGAGAAAAACACTATAAATCGTCAATCCTATTCAAAAGTAAAAATATTAAATAATTTCGTACAAGTCTTGTGAATTATATTCAGCTCGACGCAGGTAAACTCCAATAGACAACATAGACGTCGCCTGTCAGATCTGTTATTTTGTCAAAATCTAATCGACCCACATCATTCTATAACTTCTCGCAGTTCGCCGGCAGTTCCAGCTTCTGTGTAATTTACAGTAAATTGCCGGCAGGCCTCGAGCTTGTCCTTTGACCTTTATACATTTAGGTCTGAACTCACCACCAAACCCCCAAAGATTCACTCAACAATAATAATTCGACGTTAATAAACAAAATTTTCAACTTCTTAACTGACATCCACCTTATAGATAAAATGTAATTTCATATCCCCTCAATTTTTGTTTCCTATGCAGCCGCCCCATTTTAGCGGTCTTGAGAGCGGGGCTCGGTCGGTCGTGGGCTTTTTTGAGACTCAAGAATCACTTTTTGAGTTAAAATATCTCCGGTAAGTTAGGCCTCGATGGTGAATGGCCAAGGACCCTTCCTTGTGGGCCTACGCAAATTCCGACCATCAACCCTGGTGTCTGGGAGTAACCAGTATGGAGGCAAATTTCCCCCCTTGCTTTACCATACCCGTCCTTTCCTAATTTTCCTTTCGTTTCCTTACCCCCTCTGCTTTAGGAGAGGCTTCCTGGGTTACTGAAACCACACCCCTCAGGCAACGGGTGCATCAGTAGGGGGTTCGTACAAATCCCGGGTGGGCGATCAGTCCCACCTTAAAAATAATTCACTAATTTCGTGGTCCGCTTGACCAATTAATACATTACAATTAATTAAGGTTTTTAGTTGAGATGAAAAAAAGTCAATGGCACGAGCGGGATTCGAAATATTCTTAAAAATAATACTGAACCACGGGAGTAGAGTATCTAAGCGGCTCTACTAATTGAGGTTGGGCTCGTGGTGGTCTTGGTTTGTAAACAAATTGTACCTTAGCTGGAGGGTACCGGCCAACCGGAGCCGGAGATAGAGTGCCTTCTCTATCTCTCCAGGGGTGAAAGGCCGTACCGGAAACCACAAAACTGCCTTTTTAGGGCACTTCTGAACATGGTTAGCCTTAGCATTGCACTACTTCGCTAGCCAAGGGATGTGACAAATCCATGCATGTAAAATCTTCCTGGTGTTCTATTTGAGAACACTTGGCGCCTATCTCCCCGGGGATAAGTCCGAACGTCCCAACACCCATGAGTAAAGATGGGAAGTATGACCACGGATCCTGTCTGGAAAGCTGTGCTCGCATTGTAATGTTTACAAGCTTTAGTCGCAAGAGATCTCTGAGGTCCTTCTGGGCCTGGGATATAATTCCCAGGTACTGATGGGGACAACACCTCGCTCTTAGCAGGCTGGAATTAAGGATAATAATAGACTTTATACTGTCCATTGCACATTTACTTATCACCTTAAATAATGACAAAAAGCGAGACAGAAACTTGCTGTGCCGCCATGAAACAGCAGAAACATCAGAACATGACCTATGTGTCTGCAAAGTCGTAGTGAAAAGTTGGACTGGCTATTAGAAAGGTAGACTGACTATACTCACTGGTGGCCCCAAGAAAAAAAAGCCTGTTTATTTTCTGTTTAGAAGGGAAAGACATTTATTATATTTTAGGTCTGCAGTTAGAATAATTTTCTTATGTAGAAATGTGTGGTGTTTAGTGACCGTTACTTAATTATTTGGAGGTGGTGATATGCGGTCTGGTGTGACGTAGTTTTAGAAAAACATTTTCTTTATTGTGCCAACGTTTCGATCTTTATTGAGATCATTTTCAGGGCTCAAAGTGTTTGTTTTCCGTGTAGATGTGTCATTGTCTGTCGTGTTGAGAGAGTCCAAAATTTTTATTTGTCATGTAGTTAAAGAAAAACCAGGCTGTGGTCAGAGGGGGTTGTGGACAGACTTTAAGGGCTTACTATGTTTCTCTGAATGGCTGTCGGTCTGATTTACGTTGGTCAACATTTTTGTTTGAATTTTGAATAATTTTCCCCATTTTCTGTACTTTCTTATAGAAGCCTTTTATATATTTTTATGGTACATACGTCGTTCAAAAGCTACGTTTCTTTACTTTCAAATGGTACGTTTGACATTAAAATCCTTTTAGCCGTTTTTTGAATTACAACCGTTTAAATCAGATATTCCGATAACGACAAAAATTTATATTTAGGGGTCTCTCGAGGTGCTAAAACAAAATATCATATTAGTTTCAGGAAAAAATTTTGACCTTGTTTACTTGGTTTTTAGAAATTTTTTAGTTATTGATAAACTTTGATAGCTTTCACTATATTTTTATTGCCTTCTACATAAAAAATTATGTGAAATGATATATTCATATAGTTGATTTGGCCAAGTAGAACAGCGAAATAATAATATTAAAAAACGTAAAATTTCAACTTTCAATACATTTGTTTGGCGAAACCAGGGCCTATTCATAAGAATTGGCGGATACGTGTCCAATATTTTGGAGTGTAGAATCACCAAAAAAAAGTTTGATCCTAATCCGTGTCACAACCAACCTGGTCGTCCCTTTGTAAAAATAAGAAAATAAAACGCCAAATCGTACGAAATAAGGTTAGATATATGAAACCAAAAGACGTTACTAATAAAGTAGGTAAACAAATTTATCTTTTGTTAAAAACAATTCAGATTAGTTTTAAGCACCCTTAATTTTCATAACAATAAAAAATACTCATTATTCTTATTATGGTCATTAGATTCGCCGGACGCAATTTTTTTGCCAATTCCACTTTTTGTGGAAGTCTTCTCCATTTTATCCAAATTGAACGTTACAACTGTTGAAAAGCGTAATTCTTCTTTCAGGCTTTGTCATTTGTATATTATGTCATTATAAGTAAGAGAAAGAAGGATGAAATAACAAAGAGCTGTTCAAACTTTTTATTTCATTTTTCTGGGTCTAATTTGTGTCCAGTTTGTGCCATTACGTGCAGCCTATAAGGTTCTAAACCTCTGAGAAGTTTCCGATAGTCGATGGTGTTTCAAAGTTATGACCATTTTTGATGATTTTCTATCGGTGGGCGAAAATTTCGTGGCAAATTTTTTATTCTTTTTAAAAAGATAATTCCTACTCATTCCTACTCACAGTAAGTACTTCATACACAGTAAGTACGCTTACTGTGATTAGGAACTATCTTTTTAAAAAGGATTGAACACCGCACTCACTCCACCATTCATCTTTTCTATAAATTGTTTATTTTTCCAATAATTTGTATTTGGGGTTTTTAGAATGCAAAAAAGAATACCAACTTTGATTCTTGCTAAAAAAAATATGTCTAATATCTTTCGTCCTATAACTTCATGTAAAGTTTAATTAAAATTGGTGATCCCACGTCCATAGCCTCTGCTTTTTAGTTTAAATCGTGTGTATGTCTGTCTGCCGTCTATGAATGGATTTTTGACTGTTTATCTAGGTAGGTTGTTTTAGGGATAGTTTACAATAAACATGTACATTTGACTTCTGGGTCTGCATATATATTCCATTATTTTTAAGGTTTCTCTGGCTAATTTTGATCGACTGGCCGTTTGTTTTTCAGCCGTTTTGTTTGTATTACTGCCTGTCTGACTGACTTTCTATTGCTTTTAAGTCTACCTATGTATTATTTTATTATTGCGTTTCAAACTGCCAAAACTTATTTTCTTAACACATGTTTTGCTGACGGACGAAAAGTTTTCAGTGTCGAAAACGGGAACCGGTTGAAAATTGTACAACACCTCGGGATAATAGGACGTCAAATAAAATGACGCTTACCTTGTAATTATTTGACCCATTTTTTCGACAGAATTATCCTTGAACCTGAACTCGTTTGTTTAACTTCCGTGTTTTCTAATCTTCTCCGCATATTTCGGTAACAACGAATATTCGCCTTTAGCAAATGAATTGCATGTCAAATGGGTGTAGATTGTTAATTAATAAGCGTTTTGAAGGATTACATTTTTGTTTAAGATAATTTCTCCTTGAAAACTCAAAGGTGGAAACAGTTGTTTAATTTAATATTGAACAAAATTGGTTTTGCCATATGGTTAATAAAGAAAAATCTCATTAATATTAAAATGTTTCTAATTCAGTGTAATATTTTAAGAGAGTTAATAAATAAAATGTCTGTTTAATTTTGTGGTCAATTTTTTTCAATTAAGAGGCAGAAAAACTTGTCAGCTGCTTTGATTAAACAAATAAAAAAAAAAGATAAGATAAATTCGTTAAGGCTTGAACACATACACATAAAAGAAACCCCTTCTCCTCATATGTATACATATAATAAAAATCTTGTGAAATTTTATCAGTGTTATTGATTATTACCTTGGTGCAAAGATGAAGCGTTTTCTCATTTTTATTTTTTTAACTGGACATTTATTTATAATACAGTGCAATCCCATAAACAGGATGGAAATGGATGAATCCTTAGAGACCACAGGCAGCGAAAAGATTTTGGTCAGACACCCAAGACATCTCATCAGTTTGACATATCCGACTAAGATGAATACAAAGCCGAAAACCATTCACCACAATCACCACAGCAACACTGCTCACCACCACAACCAGGAACCGCACAACCCCATTAGACACTTCAACCAATTTTTAGCTGTACCTGCAGTAAAACCGTCTGTCTTTGTACACCAAATGAAAGGCATGGGGGTCAATCATCATCACAAATTGCGTCACTATATGAAAAAGTACGGTGCGTCTAAGTGTCAGCCGGGACAGCGGAAAGATTGGAAAGGCAGATGCAGGACACCGTGGACGGTGAGCCAACAAAAATAATAAAAATTAAAAATTGTAAATTTTTTTAACTGTAAATTTGTACAAAATTGTATATAGATGTTTGTTCAGTTAATGAATTTTTTTATTTTTATTGTTCCTATTAAAGGTTATAAACATATGCTAAACCATTATTTTTATTTCAAATTGAAACAAATATTTGTTTCATTTAATGATCTCATTTTAATTAATATGTACAATATAACAAAATATTTTTAAAAACTTCTTTGTCGTTTATATACATAATCCCATAATCAAACTGTTTAAGCAGATTTTATCAAGAACATTTAGCAAATCATTAGGTAAATGACAACATTTGAAATGTGTTAGATTATCGCGTGCACCGCCAGTCAATATGACAAATCACCATTTAAAAAATATGTTGTTGACTTGTATTTATTTTGCACGAGGAGTTGGTTTAAAAAGTTGCCTTAGGATTTATTCACAACTTTTATTTTATACTACCACAAACATACAAATACATACACAGTTCGAGAGTAATACGACTTGGTAACTTATCAACATTATTTACATTGATACAGAAGTAAACATATGCTTATGTATATATACCTTTTTTAAATAGAAAAATAGAAAAAGTGTATGATGCACTGTCTTCACGCTTACAAGTTGGTAAAGACGTTTAGGAACATCATCACTCTTTTTTTCATGGATGATTTTTTTTTAGCAAGCAATAATGTATGAACAACATGTATGAAGTTGAGGGGAAAAACATTATTAATTGATTTTTTGTTTTTAAACAAAGCTTTTTTAAAGTTGTATAAGTTTTTCAACTAAACAAATTGAATAATTATTTAATACTATATCGTCAAGATTAACTTTATGTTTAGTCATCGATTTTATTTTGTAAATAACACAGCAAGTAAAATGTTGAATCAGTCTTAGTACAACATTAGTCAATTCGATGTACTAGTCTTCAAAATTTACTTGATTTAATTGATAATTACACAGATATTCTATCAAACTTTACAAAATCCAAAGTCAATTGAAAAAAAAAGAAAGAAAAAAAAGACAATCTAAAGAAGAAATTAATTTCAACAGTGGACGCGAATTATGTACAATCGTGTAAATAAAATATATCCACTTTTGTATAAAATATTATAAATATTCAAAGAATTACAAACATTCTTTTATTTAAAATTTCGTTTTTCTTATATTTTACACAATTATTGCGTGTATTAACCATAGTCTTGATATGTACATTATTTCACAATATTTATACTTATATAAACAAATTTCTTTAACATCTAAGTGCTTGAGTTTCATCAGAAATGCTAAGGAGCTTGAGATTTTATTGTTTTCCCATATTAATAATTAAAAATATCTTTATACAAAATTATACATTTTGTTATTAAAATGAAGTAATTAACATTAAATTGGAGAACACAGTGGAAGATACCTGCCGCATACCTAAAAAATCTGAAACATTACACTTTTACAAAGTAGGGTTACTATGTAAAATATTCATGTGTTAAAATTTTAGATGAATGAGAAAAGAAAACCAATTTTGCTCAATTAACAACTTTTCAGTATTAAAATACAAACTTAAAAAAAGAAAAGGCAATGTCAGTAAATTAAATTGATGATTGCCAAATTTGAATTTATATCTTTCCAATCATCTAAAATTTTTGGAACAATAATATTAATGCTTGTTATGGCACAATAAACATTAAGGTATGCTATAAATATAATAACATGTATATTATGTACTTAATTTCTATTTTTAGCTTTCACTTACTTAAACTACGATAGTGTAGGCCAACTAACTACTTTATTTACAAAGTATAAATAAACAGAATCATAAAATAAGTTAAAACTTTGGCGAAAACGGCAATTTGTCCTTATCATTTTGCTCTAGGACCTGTACAAACTGCTTGCTTTTATTAATGTGATATGATTTACATATTATTGATATGAGTCACTAGCAGGCGAAAAAGCAAAAGTCCCCGCTTTTACTTTCATCGACAAGAAAATCACGGTTTTTAATTTTAAATAACTATTAGATAATCAGTCTTTGAGACGGTGGCGTTACTGCTAGATCACGAGGAAGGTTCGCTCCTTGATGAATTGTGGTAAAGCGGTTGGTATTGAGTGTAGGCCGGAGGCGGAGGCGTGAAGGTGGACAGAGTGTGGACAGGGTTTGTCGTCATTCTCCAACCTCTTGGGTCTGGCCTTTGTTGCTGCTGCTGTTGCTGCTGTGGATGTTGCTGGCCTGCATGGCCATTAGACAATCCATGGCTGCTCTTGTGGAACCCCGACGGTCTTCGTAATGTAGATGTAAATTGATTTTGATCACCCCTGGATCCTAGCTCTGATACTGCTTTTCGCCCACATTGAGATACAACTAATGAAGAAGGCTTTCCAATGTTATTTAAACCTAAAACAACGCAATTTTATTAATTTGATTATTATTACAAATATTACACACTTTGTGTGACATCTGTTTGATTACATAATCAGGTTTTAAGTAAAAAATGTCTCATTAAATAATATTTTTTTAAATTTGAATTAGAGAAATTTATATTGTGTTGAATCAATACTATTATTTCAAGAGGCTTTTTATTCTATGAATAATTTGATGAAATAATCCGTTTAAATTTTATTTTAAATAATTAATTTCATTTTTCGCTTTTATACTTAGCTGTAACTGATTATATATTTGAGGTTTGTACATCATCATACATATAAATTTGCTCTGCCAAAAGTATTTGTTACATGATTGTAGAAATTAGTCTTGGAAGGAATGAAAAACAAATGTTAAAGAGTTAATACCAATCTTAATTGTCTAAGTATTAAGACTGAAGGAAATTTAAGCCCACTGAAAAGTAATTGGACATTTTCACACCACTCAAGTCGAATTAAAAGCAGTGATGTTAATTGGAAGAGGCTCGAGCTTTTTGCAAACTTGAACTTACTGAATTTTTTTTATTTCCAGAAATTTCACCATCGTCAATTTTTGCAACATGATTTCCTAAACTCAACACATTTGTAAAACAAATATATAAATATTTTAAAAACCTGATTCGTTAAACTGCTCACCTTTCTGTGGAGGGTAATCATTCTTTTCGAACAAATATGTGTCTGAGTAAATGTTGGAGTTGTAGAAAGAGTTCTGTGGAGCATACGGAGGTTCATCTTCTTTTTCATTTGGAGGACGAATCTGAACCCAACCCTAGAAATAAAAATGTTAATCATCCCTTAATAATAAGTAATAGTAACTAAAATTTACTGGTGGAAGTCTTTCATTTGTGTTCTGCCTTGAATTGTACTTGGGGACCAAAGTAGTCGTGGCGTATGGTGCTGGACTAGTTGCCCCATCGCCTTTCCCATGAAAGCTCGAAACTGGATCGACTTCTGCATAATCCGCCGGTTCTAATTCACTATGATGTGTCCACGAAGAGCCTCGATTTGGCTCAATCCAAAGAGTGGAATCATGAGGGTGAGGAACCATTGCAGTCGACATGGGGTGAGGTAGGCCAACCGCAGCTTTGAGACTCAACGGGGTTGCCAAAATACCTCCGTTTGAACGTGAATCTATTAAAAAAAAAAAAAAAAAAAATATATATATATATATTCTTAAAATGCCTTATAAAATGTTATCAAAATTGGTTAAATGTCGTTTTCAAGCATACAACTACCAGGTAGAGTTGTCTTCTTGGTGAGGAGCTGCCTTCGCCTTACAAGCAGCATTGCGGCAAAAAGGAGTAGCATAACTGCTACCATGCTTCCCAACAAAGCCATAAACCATGTTTCTGTTAAGAAATCATTTGGACCTGGACCAATGCCTGGTTTCTGCCCGATAGGTTGCCTGGAATATATTGGTTTTATTATTTTGTAGATAAATGTCGCTATTTTTATTCATACCGTTGATGTTGATCTCGATAAACTTTTCTTAACGAAGGATCAAGTCGTAAGTTTGCAGGTACAGTAAATGGGCCGAGACCTGCTCTGGTTGCCGCAGCAACTTCTACAGTATAAACTATACCCGATGATAGATTTGTTAACAGTAGTGAAGGTGTTCCAGCATTTACAGTGACATTATTTAAAAGTGTCATATTTGATGAAGCTCCTCCTCTAACTACAACCTGTAAATATATTGCTTATTAAAAATTATTTCATTTTTAGTATATAAACATTTCAATGAAATTGACAATCCACCTGATAAGTTCGTAGTATACCATTGTGAGCTGATTGAGGAGGTGCTTTCCATTTTAAATAAACAGCACTACTATTTAATAGCACTGGTTCAAGGCCAGTAGGTGGTTCAGAGGGAACTAAAAAGTAATCAATTATTAATAATATGTTTAAGAAAAAAATTAATTAGAGGAATATTGATAAAAACCATCTTCTAATGTTCTCGCTGTGCGGGAATTAGAAGGCCTTCCATCCAGTGTTTTGTAAAAAGGTACAAGAAAAAATTGATATCTTGTAAATTTTGCCAGTCCTGTAACGACAAAACCTGACGCTTCTCCGGCATGAAGTACAGTCAACATGTTAGTAGATCTTGCAGGTGCATCCAAACCCCTTGAGTAAATATAAAATCCTTCCACATAATCGGAATTTAATATCTAAAAATAAAAGAAATATTATAAATAGTGTAAAGAGTCAATTATGAAATGTATATATTTACCTCCCAGACTATTTTTATTGTTGTTGAAGAAAGTGGCTGAATATGAGCAAGCTCAACAACATGCCCATTCCATAATGCGTTTCTTGCTTCTTTCATAACTGGATCAAGTTCTTCTTCAGCGCTCGCCCCAAGAGGTGGAACAAGCGTTGCTTCTGATCTGAAAGATGGGGGTGAAAATCCATGGGCGTTTTCAGCCCTGACGATGAACACGTATGTGGAGCCAGGACGAAGGTGGTTTTGAGTGTACACAGGGCCGGGAACCCTTTTTGCGACAACAACCCATCCTGGTGATCCGCCTTCGTTCGTCTCTCTACTGAACATCTCAATCTAAAATCAAATTGCAAGATAAGCATATATTATGAAACTCCAAATTAAATTTTAATTTCTAACCTGGTAACCGATCAAAGAAGATGATCCAATTTTATTGTTTCTCGACCAAGAAATTGTGATGCTATTGTGTGTTTTGTTCACAATATTCGGCCTAGTCGGAGGCCCAGGGAATGTCGTTGGCTCTGGGGCTCGAAAAAAGGCAATGTTAGGATTTGTTGGAGATTCAAGCCTTAAAAATGCACTCCAAGTGGCTTTTCCTGATCTCGATGATGCCACACACGTATACTGACCACTATCTGTTTTTACCAAATCTAAAAAGGATTGTTATTAGGCATTTCCTAAATTATTTTAAATAAAAAAAGTACCATTTATTTTGAGATTTCCACTTTCTGAGATATTAATCCTTTCCGTTGTTAATACTGGGGTACCATCCTTATACCATGTAATTACTGGCGTTGGTGAACCCGTTGCTTTACAAGCCATTGCAGCGACTGATTTCAAAGGCAGAGTTTGGTTGGAGGGGCCTAAAATTGATTTTCTTAGTTTAAGTGTTTTGTCAAAGAAAACAAATTATAATTAATAATTTATGAAAACTATTATGAGATCCACATGTAATTAATGTAACAAGTTTCTATTAAGAATTTTATTTAATACTTAAAGACAGATAAAATTAGAATTGAGAGCTGGTTTCAAGATTGTTTAATAATTAATAACATTTAAATTAGTAATTTTTAATTTTTATTAGCATTATTTTACCAAGAACAATGATAGGAGGTGGATTTTCTTCAGGCGTGGTTACAGAGAGCCTAGCTCTCCAAGTGTCTGATCCGGCCTGATTTACTGCAGAACAGATCACAACTATTCCAGAATCATTCCTGATTACATCCTAGAAAAATGACAAAAACAACATGAGAGGGGTTAAAAACAAAAATGTTCAAAAACATACTTGTAATGTCAAGACAGCTTGACCATCTGGTGTAAGAGTGGCATGGAACCTGTCCATGATTTCACCAGGATATAAAAGCGTTCGATTTCCTTCAATAGACCAGAAAATCGAAGGTCTTGGATTGCCCTCGATGCCGCAAGTGAATACAGCATCATCTCCAATTTCTGCAACTTGATCTGTCGGTTTCGACATGACGACAGGCGGGGCTGTTGAAAAGTAAAGTCAATCATATCGTTTCTTCTACCATACAGTTGAAGACAATCATATAGTTGTATACATACAGTGAACAGTCAAGGTTGCTGATGCTGAAACGGTCCCTACTCCATTGTCAGCTTCACAGCTGTACTCCCCTTCATCTTCGGTTGTAACTGCTTCCAGGCGCAGGCTTTTGTCATCTTGGGTCCTTGCTCGAGAAAGCGGCATCGGACCTCCTCCAGCTATTCTCTTCCACATCACATCCGGCACTGGATCTCCTTCGACTAAACATTCAAAAACTATTGTCCCTCCTGCCAGGGTGACAGCATCTTCTGGTCCACGGACAATGTAGGGTTTGACTAAACATTTAAATAAAAATTAATACTATGTTCTTGAAACGAAATTAATTGAATATGCTAATTTTATTTTACCATGAACTCTAAGAAGGGCCACTGAAGATTCCCTGACACCGACTGTATTTTTTGCGATGCATTGGTATTTTCCGTCGTCCGACTGCCTCACATCTTGAATAGCCAAATTTCCACCATCAACTAATCTCATTCTATAAATAATTAGTAGCAATTAGAAGATAAATTAATTAATTAAAAATAATAGGAAAGACAGTCCTGGTTATTTATGAACCGTAGTCATGTTCTGATGTTACACACATACACACAATCACACAAGAAATACAACTAAACGCACACATCAAGTAACAAGTGAAAACCAAATATACACTCACTCACTCACTCTCTCTCTCTCTCTCTCTCTCTCTCTCTCTCTCTCTCTCTCTCNCCCTCTCCCTCTCCCTCTCCCTCGCACGCACGCACGCACGCACGCACACGCACACACACACGCACACGCACACGCGCGCACACACACACACGCACACACACACACACACTGGCGCGCGCACGCACGTACATACATTTATCTTAAGTACCATCTTCATTTATACAGAAAATAATATATACCTACATAAAACCTACAAAGTAAAATCGTTAAATAAAGACATAAAGATAAAACGAACCTCTTATTATTGTCTAAATCGATGAGGTGGCCATTTCGTTTCCACAGAACGATGGGTTCAGGATGGCCTCTCGGTGGTCCGCATTCAAGGAGGGCAGTCTCCCCTTGCGCCACCCTCAAGTTCTGTGGCTCTATTCTGAACTCCTCCTTTAAAACTGAAACAATAAAAATTAATAATAATTATCTATGTAAATTTATTCATATAAACACATTAAAACACTTTTAAAAGGGCGGTATTAAAACAGAAAATTACTCGTAGCGTTAGCGCTTTAAATTAATGCTAACTGGGTGAGGGGGTTTGGGAACAATACGAAAACTGGGAAATTAAGTTTTAAACAAGTGATCACCTTAACGATCGGATATCCATTTATATTTCCCCAAGTCATATCATTTTTATTGTAAAATGCAACTGAGACGGGTAAATCTGGCCGTCCGCCCGGACCCCTTTTACCTCAGTTAGACATTGCAATTACGTGCAACTGGAATAAAATTAATGAAGTGCAAATCGTGACGGGGTTTTTACAGAGGGCCTTTTCGCCCCTAAAACAGGGATCCAGTTACAGTTAGGGTTAATTAAAATTGATTGCGTTAGTGCAGGGGAAGCGTGGGAATTCTCCCGAATGGTAATTCTGTTTTTCCTTTGTTTTTGAGGATGACAAACAAGTTTCGGCAGTCACGATGCCACCGTAAAGGCCGAGTAGACAAACGCGACTGCAGTTAACAGCACGCTATTACAAAACGAACAGTTAAAATATAATATTTCCGACTTATCCCTCTGAATTCATGTCAATTTATTTTACGAGATTTACTTTTAATCTGACACTGAAGATCTTGCCTTACTAACAATAGAATTAATGAAAAATTAAAGTTTACACCTGAACTGTAAACACGACAATAATTATCTTAAATTAAACTCACGTGGATCGTGTGCGTGTTCTTCGTTGATCACGCAATCTTTGCCGGTAAAAAAAATCCGCTTTTCACATTCATACATCAAACTTGAATTTTTTGGGGATTTTCAGTCAAAAAGTGGCACCACTCGTTTCACTTATATTTATTTCACCGACATTTCGGATTTGTATGAAACTACTTCGAGGTAACATTGGTATATCACTCACCTACATTATACAAAAATTAAATATATGAAAAATCACAGGTGGAAGAAGTGTTGCACAAAACGGTCGAGGTGTGAGGCGAAATATAATTTTAATTTTTAAGTGTGAACCTGGAAAAGACTCCACTCACAGTGATTTATCCCAAGTAAAGGAATCTAAAGGTGTTTGTAATATAAAATAAAAAAACTAAATGTATTTATCTGTTGAAGGCGTTTCGCTTGTATACCTTGAGAAAGGAGGTATATCCTTCGAAACGTCGGTGAAATAAATGTAAGTGAAACGAGTGGAGTCACATTTTGACTGAAAATCCCAAAAAACCCCAACAGAGACATTATAATTGAACAGTCATCAAACTTGAACTTAACATTTATCGAACATGGTAATAATATTAGAAGAAGTCAGATTTATAAGAGAATTATATCTAAGGGTAGGTCTTAATAAATGTATAACTTTAATTTGCATCTTTGATTTATAACTGTTATATCCAACTTGGGTTGTGGGATGTGCAGCCATATAGAAAACAGCGTAGTGCACAATTCTTTAATTTGCCAACGTTTCGAATGGTTTTTCATTCTTTTTCAAGGCAACGCCTGTAAAATGATTTTTTACATTATTTTACATATATTTAATTTGATTTTACATTATTTTTATAGATTTGAATTTCTTAATACTAATTTTTAATGCTATGTGAGCAATGTGAAATGGAATTTACAAGTTTATTAAATTTTCGACTAGATAATGGACTAGATATTTTTTGTTCTTTAATATTGAAAGACATTTTTTAGAGTAGTGCCGGTATGAAAAAGAAATCGAAGAACTACCACTTCGAAACAAATTACAGCTACGGTTTTAACGCTAACACCGAAGAAAAAAAAGTTGGACAAAAGCGGCTCTACCTTTATTCCAGTAAGAAAAAAAATGTCTTTCAATATTAAAGAACTAAAGAAAATATCTACTCCATTGTCTAGTCGAAAATTTAAAATTTAATAAACTTGTCAATTCAATTTCACATTGTTCACATTGTATTAAAAATAGTATTAAGAAAGTAAAATCTATAAAAATAATGTAAAAATAAATGTAATATATGTAAAAAATCATATTCCTGGCGTTGACTTGAAAAAGAATGAAAAACCATTTGAAACGTTGACAAATTAAAGATTTGAGCACTACGCTGTTTTCTGTATGACTGCACATCCCACAACCTAACATCGTTTAATTTGCATGTTCAATAACTGATAATTCAAAAATTGAAATATTATCCATACACTGTACATTTATTTTCACAACTTTACCCCTATCTTACAATGTGTTTTGTTGTACCTTGCACTATCTGCCTGGCACCAGCTATTATGGCTGAACACCTTTAGAAGGATTTTTTTAAATTTCATATCAAATTGTAAACTTAAATAATTACAGTATGAAAACTGATAAACCAAATTACAAATAGAATTCATTCTATATCCATCAACTGCAAAAAGGCAAAATTATGTCTGCAGTTTGGCCACTTCCGGCACAGTACAGGTGGAAAAAGAAGTAATTACTGTTATACAGGAGTACTTAACGTCCAATTACTCGTTGGGTGTAACGGGCGAGGGATCAAACAACTTTAAAATATCTTTTACATATTATTACCCAATAAAATGCCATGAGCTCTGCCGGGATTCGAACCCAGACCCTCGGCCACCGCGTTCTAATTTTGTCTAGATAGAAAACATAAATGGTGGAGTGAATGTGTTGTTCAATTTTTTTTAAAAAAGACAGTTGTTAATCACAGAAAGTTGTTTTCAACGTCCGGAATTCGAGCCTACAGCTACATCATCAGGTTGATGGAGCTGTAGGCTCGAAATCCGGATCGTCGAAAACAACTTACTGTGAGTAGGAACTATCTTTTTAAAAAGATTTTGTTTAGATTTTTTCCAATTCCCGATAAAACGAGCCAAATTTAATGACTTAAAAAACTGATATTATAATTTGTATTTGTTTATTGGCCAAACAACAAAAACCAGTCGTTCAGTCCTTCCGACGCATCCTCGTTAAAATGCTCTTTAAGGAATAGCTACCCCAAAACAGTGGATTAATTATAATTGTTTACTTTCGATAAGCGTATACGATTGGCGTAGTGATGGTATTTTCTTTAAAAAAAAATCTTTTTGTTTACAGCCTATTTTATTTTCGTTTTTGGAACCTTTCTCATATTCATCTTTCATTTCTTTTAGACCGAACGGCAAACACATGTTCTCGATAATAACTTGAATTAATTATAATTTTGATGAGTTCTAATTCGATAAATTTTCACATATTGTACAGTTTTCTTATAAAACAATAGTCGAACCGTAAAAGGACGACGATATCAAATTAAATCATTATGGGCCGAAAACGAAATCCCAACCTTTTGTCGATGAAAAGGTTTTATTTTCCTGCTTGCCGACCAAAGCTTTGAAATGCCAGGAATTACAGATAGGATTAATTAATTAATTTATAATTTATAAAGAAAGCCAGTTAAAAAAGGAGAGCAGTGGAATATTAGCGTTCAATTATCATTGTAATTTTTATTTATTACCTCCAAGTATGTTGTAATAATTGAAAAATGGTAGTTAATATGGCACAAATGCCAATACCTAGCTTTGATGATGATGATCGTAAGGGGAAACGGGGGGTTGGCATTAACCAAGCCCTACAGCCTTTTGGATTATTGTACTTTTCCTTGTTTCTAAGTTCTGTTCAATTTACTCGGTCATTCTTTTAAGTTGTAGTAGGTCATCGTGGTACCCTAGGTTAATCTCTATTGAGCGGTTGCTTCCATTCAATGTGAGTGGCAGACCTACATTTTGTTTTCTCACATGACAGTGACCCCTATATAGCCTATTCCTCCCCTGCGTTTTACCCCGTCTAACAACTATAGTTTCGGTTAAGCGTCATTAATCATGAGTTTATTGCATCTGGCACCTCTGGAATTTTTATTTATTATATTTATTAATAATTAATAATTTAATAATAATTTTATTTATTAATTTCTTTTTTTGTAGACTCTTTCGGAGATGGAGTCTGTTCTAGTTAACGGTTCTGTACCTATTGACATTGTAACTCCTATGGGTATGTCTTTTTCATTAATCTAAATGTATTTGTGCTCTGGCAGCTAAAATATTGTCAATTGTTATGTTTTTCCAAGTTTTGGATGCTATTTTGGATGTGACCTTTTTACGCGCTAAAGCTGCTTGGCTGTCGGATCGAATGAGGATGTTTTTTGCCAGTGTAACTTCTTTTACGGTTTTCTATGATTATGATTATTTCTATGATTCAGCAATGATAGCATGTTTTCAACATGACTTCCTAATGAGATTTAATGCTCATATTTGAGGTTCCGTAGAATATACCTGTTCCGGTTGACAGGTTTCGGAGCCATTTGCGCAACCTAGTCTTACAAAGAGAATTTCGATAATATCTTCTAAACAAGCCAATTGTAAAAGATAAATAACTTTCCAAATATGAAAACGAAGAAGGAATGAGGGAAATGTAATTCCACATTAGTAATAACTTCATGTAAGGTCTTGGATAAGATAAAAAAGTTAGTGTCACTAGCGGGATTCGAACCCACGACCTTCGGCTAAATACGCCGCTACTCTACCACTTGAGCTATCGTGACTTCGATCCTCTTGTACACCAACTCTCCATTTCAACCTACAACCGTTCGAACCTTCCCTCTTTTTCCCACTTTCATGTAAATGAATAACAACAATTTTTGTCAACTTTAACAAGGCTAAAATTAATGTTTCCCTTAATGATCTGCATGATAATAGCAGAGGATTTTAGGATGTTGAAATTTGCATTGTCTATTATATTAAAAGTATTTGGGTGGAAAAAGTGTTATTTACGTTCATGTATGTACCAGATTACGTAATGTGCAAAACCATGTCAAAAAATACAAAACGCAGGGTTGCTTTCGGGCTTTGGTGGTCTAATTGAGCCGTGG